ATGGATTGTCCAGATGGCAGGGGACAGCACGCAGAGCGGCAGGCGCTGGGCCTGCTGCTCCCAGCATGGGGGTGGGGGGTGGGGGGTGGCAGGCAGGTGGTGCAGCAGAAAAGCCACCGCAGCAAGGCCGAGCCACACGGGAACGTTCCGGTTGAGCTGGCCGACCTCCCTGAGGGTGCTGAGACGCACGTGCCCACGAACTGGGGTTGGCAGAGTCTGGGGCTGGATTTCAACACCAAGACCCTATTGGGGGCGCTGTCTGTCTCTGTCTCTCCCTTGCTCACCAGAGAAGTAAACTCTAGAAATACATCATGGCGGTGGTTAAGGCGCTGGACTCTCACATGACCAACCGTGGTCTGGGTACCAGACCTGGCGGCGTGAGAATTACAGCAGGTGTTTAAGTGTGCATGCCCAAAATCCTAGGAGAACAGGGAAGGGATAATGGCAAGGAAGTGATTTCTCACTTTTCCCCTCTGTCTCTCTTCAGCGAGCCCATGCATCCTATGGCAAAATTTTTTTAAAAAATTATGTGGGCCAGCCCATGGCATGGTGGTTAGGGCAGCTGGATCCCATATAGCCAAACCTGTGGTTCAAGTCCCAGAGCCAGTGGCTTAAAGTACACACCAGCAAGTGTGCATGCGTGCCCAGAGTCTGAAAAGGAGGGAGAGACAGAGGAGGGGTTACAGTGTGACCACTCTCCGCAGGGCGGTGCTTTGTCACTTTCTCCCCCCACCCCCAAGCAAGTGCATATGTCCTCTGGCAAAAATGAAAAAACAAAACAGACAAACCAAAAGCATCGCAGGGCCACCAGCCTGTTCTTGTTCCACTTATTACTTACCCCCCCGCACCCCCCTGCACCCCCAGATGCAGAAAGCGCCACAAGGCAGGCATCCAGGTGCTCACATGGCCGACTTCGGACTTCGAGAAAGAGAGAGAGAACACTACCCTCACCACAGGGGCCAGCCTGCGACCTGCAGTTTAAGGGGCTGAGTCCCACAGCGCCGACTGCACGGTTCAAGTCCCAGGCCCAGATGCACGTGTGCCCAGAATCCTGAGAGGGAGAGACGGAGAGGGATCGTGGTGTGACCGTGACCATGCCTCACGGGGTGCTCTCTCGCTCTCTCTCTGGTGAGTGCATGCAAATAAATAAATAAATAAGTCTCCACAAGGTGAGAAGGGAGTCCAGGGGTCAGGAGAGAACGGTCCTAGTAATGCCAGGATTGGGCGGCCCTGGGCTTCCAAGCAATGTGCATCAGCTCACTTTCCCTTCACAGCCCGCTCCACAGACGAGGAAACCGAGGCTTGGAGAAGCATCGGAACCTGCCTGAGGTCAGGCAGCAGCAAGCCAGGGGAGGGCTGTCAGCAGAGCCTGCACGCAGGCCCACTGCTGTCACAGAGGCAAAGCCTCCCGCCACTCTAAACCTCAGTTCCCTTCTGACCACTGGGGGCCTGGCCAATATCGGGGTTCGTGCTTGAGAAGACTCACATTCTCGGTCTGTCACGCCATGTCCGCCTGCCCCAGGCTCGGTATTTGTGTCTCCATACGAATCCAGGGGTCCCATTTTCTGGGCTCACATCCTATAAATGCGCTGTTCCATCACTGCTCCCCGAGATCCCTTCTCGCGGAAAGTCTGGCACCATGGGCCCTCCAGCCTGACGGTCCATGTTTGGCGTCCTCCCGTGAACGCATTTCCTCTTTGGCCACGGCCCTCTCCCAGCCACGGGGTCCGCCTACCACTCCACACTCCGGGTGCCCATCAGCCTTGGGGGCCTTTAGAACAGCCACACCAGAGGGATGGGGCTGCCTGAGCTCTCCAGCAAGGATGCAGGCCTGGCCAGGGCTGCAGGGGGCGGGGGCCACACACTTACCACAGCCAGGCAGGAACGCCTTTCCCCACCCTTCTCCCCTGCCTCTCCTGGACTCCGTCCCTGACCACCCCGCCCCAACTCCCCCCTGCACCAGCACTCACTGCAATGACTCCCAAGATGAGAACCTCCCAGGGGCAGAAACCTTGGGCTCTTCATCTTTGGGTCAGGTCCCGGCACCTGTTTGGTGAGCGCTCAGCAACGGCTGGCTGGACAAACTACCCAGGCACGCCCGGAGGACCACAAGATTACACACCGGCACAGCTCACATGTGGAGGAGGAGCTCACGCAGGCGGTGTGCACGAACACACGTGCAGTCACACCCTGAGGCCGCTGGCACTCGGCAGGGCTCAGTGAGTAACTGCGAGTGAACGAATGGATAGATGGACGGACAGCTGGATGGACTGACGGGCTCAGCGAGCGACTGCAGAGTGAACAGACGGACGGATGACGCTGGCTGGCCGGGCGAGCGCTCCGTGCGTGGCAGTCAGGAGCCAGGAAGGAGCAAGGCAGAGTCCTCCCTCAGGGTTAAGGGCCAGGCACGATGACAAGCAACGTGACACAAGGTAGAACATGACT